TGGAGTGTTAAAAGCCCTGACGTGCTGAAATATACAACACGCGATATCAACGGCATTGCGGAACACCCCTGTGACCTTGTGCCAATGTTACGTCGCTCAGGATCTACCAGTCAGAAATGAACTACTGTGTTTAAGGGCGGGATCTGGGGAGCGAAACATTACTTTTACCCTAAAACCTCAACCACCTGCCCAGTTCTGTTGATGGTTTTTGTATAGCGTGATGCTAGAGATAGCGTCGAGATAAACATTACAACTTGGCCAGGCCGGGCCTTTTCAATAGGAGGGATCGATGACAACATTTAGATCCTAGCAACAATTTAAACGGGCTAAAGTCAAGAGACAAGATCCGCGGCAGTGTAAACAACGACAAGAAAGATACAAGATCCGCGGCAGTGTAAAACAGACAAGATCCGCGGCAGTGTAAAACAGAGACAAGATCCACGGCAGTGTAAAACAAAGACAAGATCAGTGGCAGTGTAAAACAGAGACAAGATCCGCAGCAGTGTAAAACTGAGACAAGATCCGCAGCAGCGTAAAACAGAGACAAGATCCGCGGCAGTGTAAAACAGAGACAAGATCCGCGGCAGTGTAAAAGAGACAAGATCCGCGGCAGTGTAAAACAGATACAAGATCCGCGGCAGTGTAAAACAGAGGCAAGATCCGCGGCAGTGTAAAACAGACAAGATCCGCGGCAGTGTAAAACAGAGACAAGATCCGCGGCAGTGTAAAACAGAGAGAAGATCCGCGGCAGTGTAAAACAGATACAAGATCCGCGGCAGTGTAAAACAGATACAAAAATTGCAGTGACGTAAAATAGATATAAGATCCGCGGCAGTGTAAAACAGATACAGAAATTGCATTGACGTAAAATAGATATAAGATCCGCGGCAGTGTAAAATAGATACAAGATCCGCGGTAGCATAAAAAAGATATAAGATCCGCGGCAGTGTAAAATAGATAAAAGATCCGCGGTAGCGTAAAATAGATACAAGTTCCGCAGCAGTGTAAAATAGATACAAGATCCTCGGTAGCGTAAAATAGTGACAGGATCCGCGGCAGTGTAAAACAGATACAAGATTCGCTGCAGCGTAAAATAGATGCAAGATCCGCGGCTGTGTAAAATATATACAAGATCCACGGTAGCGTAAAATGGATACAAGATCCGCAGTAGCGTAAAATATATACAAGATCCGAGGCAGCGTAAAATATATACAAGATCCGATGTAGCCTAAAATAGGTGCAAGATCCGCGGTAGCGTAAAATGGATACATAATCTGCGGTAGTGTAAAATGGATACATGATCTGCGGTAGTGTAAAAATAGATACAAGATCTGCGGTAGCCTAAAATAGAAACAAGATTCTCGGTAGTGCAAAAAATAGATACAAGATCCGCGGTAGCGTAAAATAGATACAAGATCTGCGGCAGTGTAAAAATAGATACAAGATCCGCGGTAGCCTAAAATAGATAAAAGATCCGCTGTAGCGTAAAACATATACAAGATCCGCTGTAGCGTAAAATAGATACAAGACCTGACTATCTGTCAGTATACCGTTACACTATTTGATAGTCTGTAATCTAGTAATTTTAATATACTATTATAAGTGCCCCGGGAGTCGCCGTGGCCGAGCGGCTAGACGCTCGCCGCGGATCGAAAGGTCGTGGGTTCGCTCCCTGGCGGAGCCGGTCTTTTTTAAAAAATGACCTTGGCTCCCAGGTCGACCCAGCTTTCAGTGGGTACCGGGTGCAGTCCCGGGAAGTAAAGGCGGCCGGCGTGATGCTGACCACATCACCCATCTTCTGCCGATTGGTTTATAAAAATATAGGTCTAGCCCTTTATGCCCTATACGCCTTAAGGCGTGGAAAAGGGTCCTTTACTTTTTACTTATTATAAGTGCCCCACACAAGACTTTTACCCCTTATTGAGTAGTTTTTAATTTTTTACATTGTGTTTTGTTTCGTTGAAATCGAATCATGTCAATAAACCATTACTACTGAAGTAAAAGAGACACACAAAAACACACATACACATGTGCGCTCCCAACCACCCCCCCCCCCTTTCCCCCCAAACCCCCACACACTTTTCCCAGACGTTACGACTAACTGCGAAACACCATAATAGTTATCTGCAAAACCCTGGACGACTATCGCCATAGGCCGTTACGAATACCTACAAAAGGCAATTAAAACTATGTACCAAAACCATTTCAGTTCTGATTGCAAACCTCATCTTGACATTATCGGCAGTCTTCCTTCAGGATTGATTAACTTGTAGCGTGACAGGAGGCCGTAGTTGCTGGTCTTCGTTTCAGTCGCCGATATAGCTCGGGTCCATTAAGAAGACTGGGTAGGAGAATACCCTAAATTATAGGGCTCCTCTCTGTTCATTGTCTATTGTTCGCTGGCATTTATGCAGAGAGGAGGTCATACTTTCATCTGTCTTGCGTTCCTGTCTCCATGTCCTCCTTTCATTCTGATCATGGTTTCTGTTCCTGTCTGTTCATGTCTTCTGCTGGAGTCTTCTGTTCATGTCTTCTGTTGGAGTCTTCTGTTCATGTCTTCTGTTAGAGTCTTCTGTTCATGTCTTCTGTTGGAGTCTTCTGTTTATGTCTTCTGTTGGTGTCTTCTGTTCATGTCTTCTGTTGGAGTCTTCTGTTCATGTCTTCTGTTGGAGTCTTCTGTTCATGTCTTCTGTTAGAGTCTTCTGTTCATGTCTTCTGTTGGAGTCTTCTGTTCATGTCTTCTGCTCATGTCCTCTGTTCATGTCTTCTGTTCACGTCTTCTGTTGGAGTCTTCTGTCCATGTCTTCTGTTCGAGTCTTCTGTTCATGTCTTCTGTTCATGTCTTCTGTCCATGTCCTCTGTTCATGTCTTCTGTTCGAGTCTTCTGTTCATGTCTTCTGTTCATGTCTTCTGTTCATGTCTTCTGTTAGAGTCTTCTGTCCATGTCTTCTTTTCATTTCTTCTGTTCATGTCTTCTGTTTATGTCTTCTGTTGGAGTCTTCTGTTCATGTCTTCTGTTGGAGTGTTCTGTTCATGTCTTCTGTTCATGTCTTCTGTTCATGTCTTCTGTTCATGTCTTCTGTTGGAGTCTTCTGTTCATGTCTTCTGTTCATGTCTTCTGTTGGAGTCTTCTGTTCATGACTTCTGTTGGAGTCTTCTGTTCATGTCTTCTGTTGGAGTCTTCTGTTCATGTCTTCTGTTGGAGTCTTCTGTTCATGTCTTCTGTTGGAGTCTTCTGTTCATGTCTTCTGTTCATGTCTTCTGTTGGAGTCTTCTGGTCATGTCTTCTGTTCATGTCTTCTGTTCATGTCTTCTGTTGGAGTCTTCTGTTCATGTCTTTTGTTTATGTCTTCTGTTGGAGCCTTATGTTCATGTCTTCTGTTGGAGTCTTCTGGTCATGTCTTCTGTTCATGTCTTCTGTTCATGTCTTCTGTTGGAGTCTTCTGTTCACGTCTTCTGTTGGAGTCTTATGTTCATGTCTTCTGTTCATGTCCTCTGTTCATGTCTTCTGTTCATGTCTTCTGTTGGAGTCTTCTGTTCATGTCTTCTGTTGGAGTCTTCTGTTCATGTCTTCTGTTAGAGTCTTCTGTTCATGTCTTCTGTTGGAGTCTTCTGTTTATGTCTTCTGTTGGTGTCTTCTGTTCATGTCTTCTGTTCATATCTTCTGTTGGAGTCTTCTGTTCATGTCTTCTGTTGGAGTCTTCTGTTCATGTCTTCTGTTGGAATCTTCTGTTCATGTCTTCTGTTGGAGTCTTCTGTTTATGTCTTCTGTTGGAGTCTTCTGTTCATGTCTTCTGTTGGAGTCTTCTGTTCAAGTCTTCTGTTGGAGTCTTATGTTCATGTCTTCTGTTCATGTCTTCTGTTCATGTCTTCTGTTGGAGTCTTCTGTTCATGTTTTCTGTTGGAGTCTTCTGTTCATGTCTTCTGTTGGAGTCTTCTGTTTATGTCTTCTGTTGGAGTCTTCTGTTGGAGTCTTCTGTTCATGTCTTCTGTTGGAGTCTTCTGTTGGAGTCTTCTTTTTATGTCTTCTTTTTATGTCTTCTGTTGGATTCTTCTGTTTATGTCTTCTGTTGGATTCTTCTGTTGGAGTCTTCTGTTCATGTCTTCTGTTGGAGTCTTCTGTTCATGTCTTCTGTTAGAGTCTTCTGTTTATGTCTTCTGTTGGAATCTTCTGTTCATGTCTTCTGTTGGAGTCTTCTGTTCATGTCTTCTGTTAGAGTCTTCTGTTCATGTCTTCTGTTCATGTCTTCTGTTCATGTCTTCTGTTGGAGTCTTCTGTTCATGTCTTCCGTTCATGTCTTCTGTTGGAGTCTTCTGTTCATGTCTTCTGTTGGAGTCTTCTGTTCATGTCTTTTGTTGAAGTCTTCTGTTCATGTCTTCTGTTGGAGTCTTCTGTTCATGTCTTCTGTTCATGTCTTCTGTTCATGTCTTCTGTTGGAGTCTTCTGTCCATGTCTTCTGTTGGAGTCTTCTGTTCATGTCTTCTGTTCATGTCTTCTGTTGGAGTCTTCTGTCCATGTCTTCTGTTCATGTCTTCTGTTGGAGTCTTCTGCTCATGTCTTCTGTTGCAGTCTTCTGTTGCAGTCTTCTGTTCATGTCTTCTGTTCATGTCTTCTGTTCATGTCTTCTGTCCATGTCTTCTGTTGGAGTCTTCTGTTGGAGTCTTCTGTCCATGTCTTCTGTACATGTATGTTACGTTAATGTTTCCTGTTCATGTCCTCTGTTCATGTCTTCTCTTTATGTCTTTAGTTCATGTCTTCTGTGCATGTCTTCTATTCATCTAACAGTCGTTCAAAGATGAGGTAATTCTTTAATGTTTTATATTTAGCTATTTAGTTTCTGTTCATGTCTTCTGTAGATATCTTCTGTGCATTTCTTCTTTTAGCGTCTTCCGTTGTACAGAGGTGATCCTTTCATACATCCTGCCGTCCATGTGTGTGTGTGTGTGAGAGAGAGTATTGATTAAGGAAATGTTGATTTCACGTTATCTCTATTCACCAGATGTCCAGCCAGGGATACAAGCGAACGAACTTTGAAGAGGACGACTATGCGTCAAACGGAGGCTCAGCGCCGCCCGCGGATTTCCCATCTGCTGTGGCATTCAGAGGGTGAGTTTTCCATAAGACAGTGATTCCCAAACTGTGCGCCGCGGCCCCCTCCCTCCCCGGGAAGCCGCGACCTCTTCACAGGGGTGCCGCGTAATATTGTAAAAGCTTCATAATTAACTTAACCAAGACACGAACAAACTTACTTTTACTTAGGTTAGTTCGCTGTGGAACAATTTTAATTGAAAAAAGGCGCCGCGACCAAGACACGTTTGAGAAACACTGCCAAAGGAGCATACAGCAGCTAGATTCTTACATCTGGGATTTAGTCCCAGTTATATAGTGTAGCAAGAAGTAAAAGTAAAGGACTCTATTCCACACCTTTAGGCGTATAGGGCATATAGGGCTAGACCTATACTTTATAGACCAATCGGCACAAGATGTGGTCAACATCACACCGGCCGCTTTTACTTCCTATGACGGCACCTGGTACCTACTCAAGCTGTGTCGACCTGGAAGCCAAGATCATTTTTGACAAAAGTCCGGCTCCGCCGGGGAACGAACCTACGACCTTCCAATCCGCAGGCGAGCCTCTAACCACTCCGCCACGGCGACTCCAATTATATAGTGTAGCCGGCCCAATATGGGACGCAGTTTTTTAAAATTTTTGAAAGCCCGACCTTGGCTGTTGTCGGAGACCCTATATATGACTTAACGGTTGATTAGGGTTTCTCAATCGAGTGATAGCACTTTGTGTTACCGGGTGTTTATCGCTGGTTGTGCAGTCCTGGTGGGGTTGAACTTCATCTTGGATTGGACAGTATGCGTCCTGGGCCAGGGTTTCATTGGGGCGGGGGGTGGGCGGAGATGGGAGCACCCTCTGTATGTTTCGGGGATCCATTGTGGGTGGAACAATAATAGACCCACTCTCTTCTAACAAACATGTCGAGAAAGTCAACTAATTAGGAGTGCTTCCTTTGAGTCAGAGTGCATCCGCCTGGGAGGTGAGGAACCAACAGTCTGCATATCGATAAACCAGATATGTAAAACGGATGTGCGTGCAATACTCAAGTTAAGGAACAAGACCAGAGTCCAGAAGTGGACGAAACACTATAACTATCTGCCGGACGTTACATCAGGTGAACGCCAGAACACATTTTGGAATATGAAAAAGAAAAGGTTCAAGAGGACAGACAGACGGCCGGACAGACAGGCAGACGGCCGGACAGACAGACAGAAAGATAGATATGTAGATATATAGATAGATATGTAGATGTATAGATATATATGTAGATAGGTAGATAGATAGGTAAATGCGGGTAAAAAGAGATGATGAGAGAGAGAGAGATAGAAAAAGAGAGTATTGATAGCTCCCTATAAATTAGTAATCGCCCTAATTATTCTCCTGAAGGTCGCATGCCAGACCTGGTTTCCAAGGCAGTGTCCCGCAGGCGGCCATCTGGGTTAGCGACTGGTAACCAACACGACATTCGGGCGAGAGATTAGTTTCATACGAGATCTCTTTGTTGCTCATGTACAGTGACATGTGGGAAGGCGTAGAATTGGAGCGGGGGGGGGGGGGCATCGAAACTGAGAAAAAATTGTGGGGACATCCATCCCCTAACATGAGTAAAAATTACGAAAATCTCCCCAAACAGAGTTAATCCCGCCTATTTACATACTAGGTCACTTTTGATTCGTCTTGCTCAGCCTCGTCAGCTTAACTGAAGATCACGGGGGTGTTCCGCGACACCATTGACATCGCGGTGTGGTATATTTCAGCACTTCAGCGCTTTTAAGACTCAAAAAAAAGAAAAAAACATGCAGGACTGGCCCTAACACAACCCCCCCCCCCTCATTTACGGGAGTGCTGCAACCTATGTTACAAGCATTCTCTTTCTCGGAATAACAACGTAAATGGAAGTCAACGCTGAAAGGTTTTCGAGCAAACAGTGCAGCATGAAACCCCGGTAACCTTCAGCAAAGTTTACCAGCCGAACAAACGGTGAATGAAAAGTGACCTAACATTTTCTAACATTTTTTTGTGGGGGATGGGGCGCTCGAGAGGCCTAGGCCCCTAGATGTCCCTGGTGGCTTGACGCTTACCATGTGTGCTTTTTGTGCATCTCCTCTGCCTGGTAAATACAGACGTCACGAACTGATAGCTAAAGTCGGACCAGCACAAACTGTAACTGGGAGGCTGGATAAAAAAAGACACAGTATTCGTATAAAAGTAACAGTATGTGGATACAATGAAAAATCACGCAGATAAAATCGATCATCGGCGACTGGCTCGCTAATTGGCTAGCCGGTAGACGACTTCGTCGCCGGTCGGGACAGTATCTGGGTCAGTCTCCTTTGATCGTATCAACACTGCAGGAGTCCTTTTCAAGGCTTTTGGTGGCGTGCAATTCTAAACCATTTTATATGGCGCACATAGTCTAGTCACAGTTATAACCTAAAGCTCCTCCTTGGCGGATGCTGGTTGAACTTGAAGATTTTTTTTGCGGTGGGTGGGGGGGGGGGGGGCACAGCAACGAACGAGATCCAGGCAAGCGTTTCGACTAAAGTCTGTATCATCAACGAGAAAGAAAAACCATAATATTAAGCTAGAAAAGTGAAACATCACAATTACAAATAAACCACCCACGTGTTGTCTGAAAGAAATTATGTAACGCTTAGCTCGGCAAACAGGTGGATTGAAATAGGTAGCCCTCTCTCTCTCTCTCTCTCTCTCTCTCTCTCTCTCTCTCTCTCTCTCTCTCTCTCTCTCTCTCTCTCTCTCCCTCTCTCTTTGTCTGAATATGTGTATGTAATACTTATTATTTCGAGTGCCATCTTTTTCGTATCCTGTTTCTCTCTCTCTCTCTCTCTCTCTTTCTCTCTCTCTCTCTCTCTCTCTCTCTCTCTCTCTCTCTCTCTCTCTCTCTCTCTCTCTGTCTCTGAATATTTGTATGTTATGCCTTTTATCGCGAGTGCCATCTTTTTCGTATCCCGTCTCTATCTCGCACCTCTCGTTTCTACTTGCCCAGTTTTTGACCCTTTGAATCTAAAATTCGCTCGTTCTCTCTCTGTCTCCCCCCCTCCACCCTTCCCCCCGCTGTGGTATTCGCAGAACAATGAAAGCACCGTTGGTTGCGTGCCCAGGATGTGACGAATATCATGAGCTCATTCATCACGCAGGCAGAGTTCATTATAAGAAAAGTGTGTATGTGAGCTCTCACATGGTCAGCATGGACAACGGGGGAGCTAGGGCTGTTGTTGTCGGCTGGTACCTACTACTCGACCCCACCTGTTTTCACGGAGAACGTTCAGGAGCCTCATCGGCGAGGAAGGGGGTAAGACCCACTGCTCCTTCACTAGCATGTCGTAAAATGCGACTAGTTAAGGTTTGCTGAAATCGGACATGTTGAGCCAAAAGGTGCACATAGGAGCAGCCTAGCTGTAAACCGCAATGCAAGCTTCCAATCCATCTGTACCAGGGCGAACGTAGAAATACTGGCGTTAAAAGGTCAGGCTGTACCCGGTGCGGAAAATTACCCCCTACCTTCCTATAAATATATATATATATATATATGTCGTCGTCGTCCTCTTTCTCCTCCTCCTCCTCTTCTTCTTCTTCTTCTTCTTCTTCTTCTTCTTCTTCTTCTTCTTCTTCTTCTTCTTCTTCTTCTTCTTCTTCTTCTTCTTCTTCTTCTTCTTCTTCTTCTTCTTCTTCTTCCTCCTCCTCCTCCTCCTCCTCCTCCTCCTCTTCTTCTTCTTCTTCTTCTTCTTCTTTTTCTTATTCTTCTTCTTCTTCTTCTTCTTCTTCTTCTTCTTCTTCTTCTTCTTCTTTTTCTTCTTCTTTTTCTTCTTTTTCTTCTTCTTCTTCTTCTTCTTCTTCTTCTTCTTCTTCTTCTTCTTCTTTTCTTCTTCTTCTTCTTCTTCTTCTTCTTCGTCTTCTTCTTCTTCTTCCTCCTCCTCCTCCTCCTCTTCTTCTCCTTCTTCTTCTTCTTCTTATTCTTCTTCTTCTTCTTCTTCTTCTTCTTCTTCTTCTTCTTCTTCTTCTTCTTCTTCTTCTTCTTCTTCTTCTTCTTCTTCTTCTTCTTCTCTTCTTCTTCTTTTCTTCTTTCTTCTTTTTCTTCTTCTTCTTCTTCTTCTTCTTCTTCTTCTTCTTCTTCTTCTTCTTCTTCTTCTTCTTCTTCTTCTTCTTCTTCTTCTTCTTCTTCTTCTTCTTCTTTGCGTTCACGGGCTGTAAAGTCCTGCGGAATGTTCTCGTTGTTCACCCCCTCTTGACTTAAGTTTTGTTTCAGAACATAAGTGTGGCATGCACGTCCGTTTTACAGATCTGCCATTTTTGTGGGCAGACTGTTGGTTCCTCGCTCCCCCCTCAACCAGAATTAGTCGCCTTCTTTGACATGCTTGTTATGGGTCAGTGAGTCCATTAGTTTGTCTACCCTTCCCTCTCTCCAGATGTGCTTCTGGGACCCACACCTGAAATCGTGATGTTGTTTATGTTGATTTTGATATAGATGCGTTAGCTTGAGACAAGAAAGATCATTCTTAAAAGCTAAATAAATCCTGTGTTGATGTACGGGTGTGAATTATGGACAGTTAATAAATTGGTGAAAACTTTTTTGGAAGCTGCGGAGATGGGGTTTTATAGACAAATGATGAGAATGCCCTGGACAGATGAAAAGAGTAATGAAGACGTCTTGAAAGAAACTGACTCACTAAGAGAACTGATTGCCAACATCGGAAAGGAACAATCTACATTCTTGGGTCATGTGATGAGAAGAAAAAAACTGGACGGTAGGAAAGTTGGAGTGGAGGAGAGGCAAAGGGAGACAGAGAGAACAGATGCTGGACAGTTCGACATCATGGCATGTACGACCATCTGTGCCAGAGTTGATCAAAAGTACACGAGACAGAAGATTTTAGTTAGGCATGACTACCAACGCCACACGATAGGAATAAACTCACAGGGAGCAAGTACAGCAGGAATCTACCAGTCGTCAGTAGAAATTATCCTCGTCGACAAGTGTTTCGGCCCACGATTCCTAGATACTTTCGGAGGTGGGCCCACCTGAGTTCATGAAGCTCAGGGCTGGTACCCTGCTGCACGAGATTACCGGATGATGTTTTCTTTCGGATAGGGACAAGACGACTTGGTGGTTTCGCAGAAGGTATTGTGAGATAAGAAGTCGTTGCGGCAGCCTAATTAGAACAGTCAGCATGCCTGGACGACCGAGCGACAAGCTTACGTTTGGTTTACCGGACACATGTTGGACTTTTATTAGCAGGTGGCAGAGGAACACTGGCAGACAATTCGGACACGATGGACTTTCAAAGGGTGAGAAACCCTTTTCCACTATGGATTCTAAGAAGAAGCTTTAGCTTTAAAACTACCCCATTCACAGAATTTATCCCCCAGAGGCCAGTACCTTGTAGTGGTAGGGAAGCTAGCGAGCCTCAATGATCTAGTGAGCTATGCCGGCGGAAACGTATGTTCCTGGCAGGGTCATCCAAGCCGGACAGGTCACTAGCGAGAGGCCAGACTAAAGATGGCCTCCCGGTCCTCCAGGCTCTGGGGTTGGGCGCAGTGTTGACAGCTCTGCCCTGTAAAAAAACAACTCTGACTTTACTGCAACTTCAAGAGGAAATAAGTGCTCTAAACGACGTCCGGCGTTCTTGGGACAAAGTTCCTCTGTCAGCATGAACAACATGGGTGAAAGCCGAAAGGAAGCCCATGATGGGAAAACAAGTCTGCTGGACGTCAAAACCAAATTAACTCTGAGAGTGACCCGAATGCGGCATCTCTGACATGGAAATCTGCACTGAAGATTGCACAGGACAGGAAAGCATGGAAAGTCCACTCTGAAGCCTCATGTGCCACTAGGCATAAAGAGAATTGATGATGATGATGATTTACAGAATTTATATTACGTTTAATACAATATTATTGTATTCTCCCCATTTATGTCCTTACCCATCGCCTAGAAGGAGCATTGGACTTCACTTATGGAAGAACAGAACCCCTTGCGAGAAAATCCTGTTTGTGTGTGTAGGCGCCTTGCTTCTCCACATATTCATCATCGCAGGCCTGTTGGCGCTGAAGGAATCTCGTATTGGCGATCTAAGGGCAGAGAACAAACGTAAGTAGTTTTCTGTTGCTGCTGATTCCTCATCATCTCATCGTTAGGGGTGTCCATGGCGAAATGATTCAGCTGTTTTCCTTATGTTCTCTTCCTCCCTGTTTTTTTTTTCTTCTTAAGTTCCTTTTTTCACACTACTCCTCCTCATCATCTTTTTCTTCTTCCCACCCTCTTTTCCTTGTTCTTGATCTTTTTCTTCTTCTTCTTCTTCTTCTTCTTCTTCTTCTTCTTCTTCTTCTTCTTCTTCTTCTTCTTCTTCTTCTTCTTCTCTTCTTCTTTTTCTTCTTCTTCTTCTTCTTCTTCTTCTTCTTCTTCTTCTTCTTCTTCTTCTTCTTCTTCTTCTTCTTCTTCTTCTTCTTCTTCTTCTTCTTCTTCTAATAGCACACTAATTTTTTTTCAAAATGATAACTAATTAAAAAAAATGTAAATTAATGAAACTGTTATTTAATTTGTGTATAAAGCTACTCGATAAACATAGTGAACACACACCGTGCAGAAAACGCCTTTAGTCGAAACGTTCGTGTGTGTGTGTCTTTCAACGCCTAATCCACCGAAGCTGCAAGAAAGCTATAGTGGGCCAGGACTAAATATAACACAGAATATGACTACAAAGCTCAACGGTGGGAATGAAAAAGACACACACGAACGTTTCGACCAAAGTTTGTGTGCTAACTTTCTAGTAATATTTTGTGTTAAATTTGACTTACCTTGCAAGCAGCACCAACAGTGATGACACCCTTCTTTGGTTTGGTTTTTTTTTTTTTTTTTATATATATATTTTTTTTTTTTTTTAGCCGTGGCAGTTCTGTCAGGCGGTGGCCGTTGCATTTTTGCTCCATTTGTAGACTGGAAGGATATGGTTTCGTCACCCAGCTTCTGAGTTGAGTGCATGGTGTGACACTGTGAGCTACGAGTGTTTTTCGTTGGCACAGGAGCGGAGCAACAATGGGGTGACCCGTTTGCTATGATGCTGAAACTAGGATTACCAGATTACTGGGGATGGGGACAGAGTCCATGTGAGAATGCCCCGAGTGCAGTGATGTCGTTTTTTCGTTTTATTCATGGGGGGGGGGGGGGGGGAGGGTCACCGTGGCAAGGTGGTCAAACCGTTTGCCTCGCGTTCTGAAGTTGTGGGTTCGTTTCACAGAAGCGTCATTCAGTTCACGAGTGCAGTTTTACAGAGATCCATTGGGGTCGTAGCTGAGACGACGGTGTTCGCGTTGTATGCGACGCTGTCGGCTAGCCGTTCTTTTGAGAGGGACCGAGTTGCATGGGATAACCCGGCTTAGTGAAGTCAATTTTCTGGATTGTGTAACTTTTTTCAGTTATTCTAAATCTTTCTAACCATCATACGCTCTAGTTTTTATCACTTTTTGGCCATATTGTTGCGTTTGTGATAAGTTTTCTTCCTATTTTATCCTGTTTCAAAACATCTAGATTACTCATTATAGCTAAGGAAATGTAAACGATTTTGTCATGATCTCTACAGTATCGCATAGGTTTTGTGCTATGGAGAGGAGGTACTTCATCCCTGAGATTAATTGGTATCGCCCTGGGATGGGATTTCCCTACCTTCCACAGAGCATAGTGGAGCACTGTCACTGGGGGAGCTGGAAAGGTGCCAAGGCCAAAGTCTGTAAACTCACAACTGTGAGCCCTGAAGGAATTTTTTGTTTCTTTTATCTTTACTAATGGTGTCGACGTCTGTGGCTTTGAATTCAGCTGCGGGTAATTTGGTAACGGATTTGTTGTTTTGTTGCGGAAAAACAGTGTGAGCGCTGAACCGTTCATAAGTTAGTGGCAATCTACTGATCGCAAAAACCATGCCTAGTAAAATACATAAAGAGCCGTTGCAGATTGGTAGTAGTTTGCGGCGTCCAGTATAGGATATGGCAAAAGCGGTCTTTAGGTTTGAGGTTTTGATCAATGAATCAACAAGTGCTCAGTTCTTCTTGTAACTCATGTCTGAGTCCGAAGAAGCACAGCTCAGTACACAGGCTCTGTAGCACCGGCGAGAATCCTGAAATACTTTGGGTGGATTTTTAATTCCAAATTTTCCCAAATCTCTCAATGGCACAATAAAATCCTCACCTGCACAGTCCTTGGCGACATCACTGAATCCTTATGCCGTAGCCCAACTTCCTGCCAACACCACAACAAGTTGTAAATACGGGCAGTAACTAGTAGTTCTGGCAGATATCAGGTCCCATTTTGCCCTAGACTACAAGGTGAAATCCAGAATGAAAGCTAGAGAGATGAAATTTCGGCGTTACCAGACAGAATGTCTATAACTTTAAAATGAGTTAGGTGACGTTAACATTGACGAAGGAAGACTTATGCCAGTTGACAAGACCCTTGATGATAATCGACTGTAGCATCATGGTCGGAAGTAACTCCCTTTTCTACTGCCAGCAAAGAAAGGAGTGCCACACATTTCCCCCGTTAGTTAGTAGTTCCTCTTAAACCTAGGGCAGCGCAGAGGACAGAGGCCATAGCTATCCATGTCTGGTGGTTTGTTGCCATCCGGTTTTAGGTCTTTTATGTTCATTATACCTATGGCTTAGCCTTACCTGATAATGGTTCTACGCAGTCTATCGTGGTCTTCGTCACTCCCCCCCCCCCTCCAGACCCCATCAGATGTCCAAGGCTTGATGGGGAAGTTTGGTCTTATCCATTCTCAGTGCGTGGCCGATGTAGTTCACTCGGCGCTTTCTTTTACAATTGGAAACATTATCTAGCGTGGTCTCTATTGGATCTGAAATATGTCCAGTGGAGATTTGGTATTCTTTTGAGACATATGATCTGAAAATTTTTAATAAAAAAAAAAAAAAAAAAAAAAAAAAAACAACACACATCTGGAACTACCATACAAACTGTATACTCGTAGACCACGAGGCAGACCAAAAAGACGACGGAAAGATAATATCCGGACAGACCTACAAACACTTAGTGTCACCAACTGGAAAGAGAAGGCCAACCAGGGAGATGAATGGAAGCGGGTGATATCTGCAGAAATGAACCTTAAGAGCTCGGAATGCTGTAGAAGGAGGAGGAGGAGAAGAAAAAAAAGAAGAAGAAGAAAAAGAAGAAGAAGAAGAAGAAGAAGAAGAAGAAGAAGAAGAAGAAGAAGAAGAAAAAGAAAAACTACCGTTACTTTCCAACTCTGGCATCCATAAGTTAACAAAACAAACAACGTCATAGACACTATATACTTATACAAATCTGAGTGTGGCATCAAATTACCATTGCGCCACGTGGCTCAAAAATTTCTGTACTGCCCGTGTGGGTTCTAAGGTCCTACTGTGGGGGGTGGGGGGGGGGGGAGAACAAGAATAGACACACAGCCGCTCAAACAAGCATGTCGTAAGAGTCGACTAATTTAGGGCTTATTTCGAAGTCGGAGTGCATCTGCCCGAGAGGCAAGGAACCAACAGTCCGCTTACTAATAGGTCAGATCTGTCAAAACAGATGAGCACGCAACATTCAGGTTCCTTAACAAGACTGAAGTTCAGAGGTGGACGAACAACTACAACTTTCCGCCGAAGCCTACAGCTAGTCAGCGCGAAGTAGAAGAACTTCTTTACTTTGATTTTCACTACCAGAAAACTCACCATACGTTTTCGGGTCGTTGTAAGATCACATATTGTTCTTGCTGTCTTCTTTCACAGACATTGCTTATATTAACTCTTTGTATGTGAATTGGTGGTTGTTTGTTTTAGTATCCAGAAGCCATGAGTTGTTAACTCTTAGGATCGGTATTATGGATATCGCAAGCTTTCGGCCTTGATTCCATTGTAAATACCGTAAATATGGGAGAAAATGTGGCTTTTCTGCCCACCCCCGGGAGTGAACCCGGACCACAAGGAGTTCGTCACCCGCTCACCGCGCAATCCTGTTTAGCCAACTAAGCTAGAGAGCCAGGCATGTGAATTGTTAGTTAACTCTGCCCGGTGGTGTCTCTGTTGGACTCTTTTCTTCTTCTTTTTTGTGTGTCGAATAATTGATGTCAGATTGTAGCCCATGCCGTGGTTTTCTGTATTTGTCTTGTGCTTCTCGGGTGGCTTCGGTGATGGATTTGTTCATCTTTTTTTCAGACTTCAGCTACCCCATTTGTCCATCTCATTCTTCGTAAGAATAATGTTGATTTCCACCAAGATTTATTATATTTAGTATTATAATTGTTTTAAATTGTAGGCATACTTAGAGTACATTGTTACAAAGATGTTATTGATGATGCTTATTATTATTATTATTATTATTATTATTATTAATTATTAATATTATTACTATCTTCTAAAACAATGTGTGCATAAATAATGTATGCATGGCGTGAGGCCAGAAGGGCAGAATGTTAGACCTGCCTGTGTGCCCAATTCTTAACCTTTTGAAAATAAAGTTCGTTCGTTCGTTCGTTCGTTCGTTCGTTCTTTCTTATCCTCGCCTTCCTCCCAGATGTTCTGCTGTAAAAAAATATCATATGCAGTTTGGTCTGGCTACATTCTCACTGGATGGCCGAACTATTTCATTCTTTGTCAGTATAATCCAGACGTGGTCTTATTCTAGCTTTCTCTCTAATGTTGGTATTCATCAACCTATCTCTTCTTGTGTTGTTAGTGACCTTACGGAGACAGTGCATTTCACACATATTTTCTGTTGGACCCCTTTAGATGTATTTGTTGCCGTTAAGCCGAAAGTGTTTGGAATAGAAGGGGTTACAGTAACATATTTCGAGACTGCAAGAGCTAACCACAAGCAAGCGAACACCCACAAGTAGGGCACCTTATATTGTACCCGCACACATACGGAAACGCGCATATCTTGCCCTTTTCACTTTTCTTCCGCAGATCTAACCGACGTTTCTTTGAAATGTGGACTGGCGTTTATGAATTGTTTTGGCTTTCATTATTTCCTTTGTCTGGTATCGATCCACGTCCGAGGACAACTAACCTCACACAAGCTACGTGGTTGTCTGCCCTTGACTTAGAGAAAGTCGTCTTGTT